GCTCGAAATTTATGCCGGCAACACGAAGAAATTGTAACAACATGGCAATTTATTCCAAGGAGCTGCACAGCCAGAGCAGCAGACGGAGCAGCAGTCGGAGCAGCAACAGCAGCTTGATTATCTTTTATTGTCGGTGCTCTAAGCAGGCGGAGCGGGCGACTTAAACTGCCCCAGTGACAAGTCCCTGTGCCAAGGTATTCGCCTGGGAGCTGCATAGCATTATCACAAGACCATTTCCACAGCCAGTTGCATCTACATCTACATAGACACGCTTGGTACTGAGTCTGTCAGCAGAGAGAAAGAGAGGGAGGCGGAGAGAGCCAGATGTTTGCCGCGTTTCTCATTATACTTGCAGGCAATAGAAATAGAATTCCCTTTTTACGAGTCGCCTTTCTATGCGATTTTCATAAATTCAAGCAGTGCTAACAGATTTTGATAGTTTTATCGAATGGCGTGTGATTGGATGTAGAAAATCGACACTGAAAGAGGCGGAGAGAGAGAGATAGAGGACAGAGAGTGACAGAAAGAGAGAGAGAGAGAGTTACAAAAAGGCAATATAATTTAATGCAGATAAAGTAGTTAGCATAAGCAGGCAATAACAATTCACTTTGCTATATTTGTAAACATTTTATATATGATGGCAATTATAATCCCAAGTCTATTCTAATTAAGTTGATGCCACAGCACAGCATATCATTTGCAAGAGCACAAAACAAACACTACAGCAATTTAAGCACCAGGTTTTTCACTGATTAGATTGAGGACAATGCCGAAAACCAACAACTTCGTTGCCACAGCAACAGCAACAATAACAACAACAACAACAGCTGCAGCAGTAATAGAAACGGCAGGCTACAAACCAAAATCCAAAACGAAAGCAAGGAGCATTCATCTTTGCCAATTTGCATTTGCATTTGCAGTGTCAGCCACAGCCACAGTCACAGCCAAAATGCCATATAAGCCGCTCACACACACACCTCTAGCTCTTTGCATAGTCACATGTAGACATGGGCTTTGGGCACACTCTGCTAATTAGCAGGAGGCTGGCGCGACGAATGTGGGCTAACAATTGGTAGTGCGGCAAAGGCAAATATTGTCAGGGCAACACGCTCCAAAATGGAGCCACGAATGCACTTTGCCATCAAATTAATTAAGACAAGAATGCGAACGAACCAAAAGCCAAAGCCAAAGCCAAAACTGAAGCCAAAGCCCGTGCAAGGTAAGGCGCGAGCTGCGCCAACTGCGCATAGGGCCAACAAGGCAAAAAAGGGTTAGGCCAAAGACGAGCTGTTTGTCGTCTAATTAGGGATTATGAGGCGCGTTGACAAGCCCAACTAATTGAGAACTAAACCTCTTCGAAAACGAGCAACACACAGCAGAGAGTGGACCACACACGTCACAGCCAAACATTTTCGGAGGACGACAAACGGCAACAAATTGACCTGCAACATGTTGAACAACGGCCATAAAGACCAGCAACAGCAACAGCAACAGTCGAGGCAACAGTCGAGGCAACAACCACTTGAAACGCCGAAAAAGAAACATGTTGATTGCTCTATCCGAAAAATTAATTGGACCACACACCACGAAGCAACAGCACCACCATACAAGCACCACTCAATGCTTGATGCTTGATGCTGAAAAGAGACGGCACAGGGCACGCGCAACCGCGTCTTATTAGTGAGAGTGAGAGCGAGAGCGAGAGCGAGAGCGAGAGCGAGAGCGAGAGAGAGGGAGAGTGCTCGCCAACTACTACTCGTAGACATCGCATCGTGGCTCTGGTGGGTGTCATATATATTTTAATGACCGCTACGGCTCTGGGATTGCCCTCGGTTTCCAACTGCGGGCCACATCGATGGATTTTTGATAACCGCAAGCAACCGAATGAAATGGCAAAAATGAGAAATACAAAAAACTGAAAAAGAAGAAAAGGAAACCAAAAAACTGGCGCGAATGACTGCATAAATCCATGTGAAATGCAACCAAGTGACTCCCTGACTCCCTGACTGACTGACTGACTGAGTGGCTGAGTGACTGCCCTGACTAGCTGTCGTCTGCGGTCGGACGGGTCTATCTTAAAGATTAGCCTGCAGCCCGAGTGAATGGCAGCGGCCCTGACTCCAGATCGGCGAAGCCAAGCCAAGTCGTCGTTAGGCAGCGCAAATGCAAATGCAAATGACTYTTTCGCATATGTAGGTCTCCTGGGTGTCACTCTTAACCCTATTTCCAGAGCGGCTCATAACGTTGACAATGGGTGGCCAGACGAAAGGAGCTCTGACTACGACGCTGGCTGTCTGCCTAATTAGGCAGCTGCGTTATTTATTTGGAATTGTGAAACCTGATTTCAATTTATATATGCTATATATATGTGCCTCGATATATACATATATAAACGATCGCCGTTGGCGTTGGCATGCAACGAGCTGCGTCTGTTGCACGCATGTGCAGAAACACGTGTAAGCCGGCCTTAAATGTAAATAGAATACATAGCCAACAGGATACTCTGGCTGCAGTCCGAGCTATGCTATGCGCTATTGTTGACTGGCCTCGCCTGTGTGACTAGCAAACGAATACGCCCACTTTGCTAGCGGTTGGCGGTTACGCCCCCAAGCATAGTCGCTGGTTGCAGTCGCAGTCGCAGTCCGAGTCCAAGTTGGAGTCGCATCGTAAACTCAGCACGTAAATTATGATCAGCCAACGGCGTTGAATATTAATTGCACCGCACCAAAATGAACAAAAGCCGACACAGCAGCAACAGCAACAGCAGCAGCAGCCGTAGCATCCGAGAGGCACATTCCAGCTAGATGATGCCAGCTTCTGCTGCAGCTCCATACTTGGTGGCCAGCTCATGTGAGTGCGCGCGCATCTGTAACGGGGCCTTTGATAAGCGTCGATAATTATTGAGCAGCCGCTGGAGCCGGCTGCAGCTCTTTGCGCAGTTAGAGCTTTAATTAATTTCCAGGAAGTTTCCGATCGCCCAGCATAGGCTCTGAGTGCGACTGAGTGCGACGGCGACTGCAACTGTCCGCCTGTCTGTCTGTCTGTCTGTCTGGCTGGCTGGTTGGCTGTTACGGCTTTCGTTTTCGCCGATTGTCGTCGGTCATCACTCAGCTGGAGCCGCCTGGCAGCGCCTCCTATGTCAGTGTCAACACAGCGACGACCCCCGTTGCTCATTTCTGTCTTGCTGTTTGATGAATTGTCCCTGGCCAACTGTATGCAACAGCAGCAGCAACAGCAACAGCAACAGCAGCAGCAGCATCCACACTCGAAGACAAGGTGTGGTCCAAGTCCTTCGAGCACTGTCATAGCTGTTTGTGTCTAACTTGAAATATTTGCTACGGATGCGTTCCTTAACTGAGTGCCAATGAGCAGCAGCAACAGCAGGAGCAGCAGCAACAACAGCAGCAGCAGCAGCAACAAATGCCAAATTGTGTCTTAAATTGTTGACTCAACGGCAGCAACAACAGCTACAATGTGATTTGAGAGCTGGTATTTTGTCCTGCGGCCACCAGAGCAGAGAATGCAGCAAAAACGAAACCTAAAAATACATATATATGTATGTTATATATGTATATAGAACAGACCAACAAAAAAAGAACCTGAAACTGTTTGCTGTTTCTGTGTATTTATCATGGCCGACAAAGCGGCGCAAATCTTTCAGAAATAAAATCACAAGGCTATCAAGAGCTACCAGCCAACAGCAGCAGCAGCAGCAACAACTCTGGCAACAGGGCAAACAATAATAAAAATGCCAACCACAGTTGGTGGCTAAAACAAAGCCAAAGTCTACAGAAGTTGTCCAAAGAAACAGCAAAAATCGTAAAGCCCGGAAGCGGGTTGAAAAAAGTTCAGTTTATTGAATTCTTGCTTCGATCTGAGAAACAGTTGGCGCACACAATCTCTATACGACAAGAGCTACTGCAGGCACGGTGCTAGCTAAAAGTTCACGCACACTCAAATCTCAGCACTTGTCTCTATATATTTTCTATCTATTAAATATATTTCTGTTTTCTTTTAATTGAATTGCCTTGGCCACATACTGCTGGCAGTCAGTGTGCAGTTCACAATCTTGAGGTGAACACCATTTTGAGTAATTAGGCACGATTTTAAGAATAATTACCACCTGGTCGCCGGGCCCACATGTTGCGGCAACAAATTGCCGCCGTTTTGCCTGCTAAACTGATTTTCATTTTGATTTTCATTCTATTTTTTGTGTGGCTGCTTGCTTTGATCGTATTTTGGGTTTTTAAAACAGTTTTAATCGCATGAGCCTCGAGCGTACCATAAGCGTTTGCAGTTCGGAAGCGAATTATGCGGCAAATAATAAATAATTTGAGCTCATAAAATGCAATAAAAAGCCGCTCACAGCGCCGCGATTTATTTCACAAGATAATTTCAAACTAATTTGGTAGCATTTAGCCGGAGAATTATCGCCCGACCAACACTCGGCCAAATGGCGCTGCGGGAGCCACAGCTGACAAATGGCATTGAAAACTGCATAAATTGTTCGCGCTGTGCCATGTGCCACGCCCATTTCGAATCAGTCAAACGAGCATGGCTAGTAAAATATGTAAAAACTAGAATAAACTATGAATATATAATATGCTATGAAACATGTCCGCAAAGCCAGACGAAATTCCTCAAGAGCTAGGGCAGAGATAGGGCAATATTTTAGATATGAAACTAATTAGTTATACAGAGACCTTGACCAATCGTACATCTGACATATGTGCTGTAATCCAGCTGGATTTGACATCGCTTTACGCCCCTTTTAGCCGAGTTACGCCCAACTGTCAAACTGTGAAAATTATATCTTGCAATTGTTATGACAACTCCTATGAGAACTATTGCAGATGGAAGATTTTACGTAACATGCAAAGAAATGCATTGATTTCTAAATATGATATGAAAAGCAAATGATATAAATAGCCCATTCGCATAAGAAACCCTCTGCAGTTATACTCCGAGTTTCATTGAGTCAGGAAGTAATCTTTGAAAATATGTCGGTTGAGTACTTGACGCAGCCATCCTTTGGTGACTTGCAGCCATCTCGAGATGCATTCACGTATGTGGAAAAGGGCATGCGATTTATTGGCTGGATGCCGCCATCGAGAGACCATCCCAAATACTGGAGCTACTGCGCCTATGCGTTCTTAGTAACGGGCTTAGCTGGCGCCTATATGCCCTTTGCCTTCTTCCTCAGCTACTTCGTCAACTTCAGTGGCTTCACGCCTGGAGATTTTCTAACTTCCATACAGGTCGCATTCAATTCGGCTTGCCTGGGAGTAAAGCTCATCCTTATCCTACCGAATCTGTGGCGCTTCGAGCAGTTAAAGCAGCTACTCGATATATTGGATAGGCCATGCATCCAGGAGGGAGCAGGCGAAGTGATACATCGTTGCGTCGCACGCTGTAATTTCATCTATATGGTCTATCAGGCAGCGTACACCTCATACACCGTGCTGACCTGCGTAAGCTCCTTTTTAACCGGGTCTACCCCTTGGGGAATCTACATTCCGTTCGTGGATTCCCATTCAAGTAAGCAAGCCTTTTTGATAGCAGCTTGCATTGAATCTTTCATGGGAGCCGCAGCCGTCATTATGGACCAATTTATAGACGTCTATCCAGTTATCTTCGGTGTCGTTTTAAGAACTCATATGAAACTTTTGATAGGGCGCGTTGAGCGATTGCGCAGGGGCCAGAGCCAAAGCGACGATGAGGAGTACGCGAAGCTGGTCAACTGCATTAAAGATCACAAAAATATTCTGCAGTAAGTGGAGGAGAGTTCTACTAAAGATTAAAAGTGAATTCAATATATTCACAGATTTTCGAACGACATTCGACCACTTGTAACAGGCCCGATATTTGCTCAGTTTCTATCGATTGGCTTGAGCCTGGGCCTCGCGATGGTTAATTTAATGTTCTTTTCCACTATCTGGACGGGTATGGCCACGTTCGTCTTCATTATGGTCTTGATGATCGAAACATTTCCGTTTTGTTTCATCAGCGAGCTGATTGCAGACGATTGCATCGATCTGACTCATGCCATTTTTCATTCGGATTGGGTAAGTGCGAGCAAGCGTTATAAGGCGACTCTTGCGTTCTTTCTGCATCAGACCCAACAGCCGATTGTCTTCATTGCCGGCGGTATCTTTCCTATCTGCATGAGAACCAACATTGAGGTGAGGGCTACTAAATCAAGAGCTCCGATAACTATGATAGCGATTCCCTCTTACAGATGGCCAAGCTGGCATTCTCAGTGGTAACGATTGTCAAGCAAATGAATATTGTCGAGAAACTAAAGTGAAAACAATTTTCTGAAATTATATGCACGTTGAATTGCACGTAGGAATGCTCTAAACACCTGTAGAAACACAGCACAGCAATCGAAATGAATAAAATATGCTTCAGCTGGTAAATTTACTGCCAAACATTTCATATGAGCAGGAATCGTTGCCAATCGTTGCTTAGCTGGAAACAATGCAGAGACGATCCCTAATCGCGTATTTGCTGTTTGCTGCTGCTGTTGCGGTTGCTCTTGCGGTTGCTGTTGCGGTTGCTGTTGCTGTTTGCTGTGGAATCGATGGCCTTTAAATCTCTTCGACAATAGAATTGCTTTGATGCTTGTTGTTGTCTTTGATCTTTTGAGTGCTGCCGGGCATTTCGAATGACGCATGGCATTGAACAGCAGCTGGGCTGTCTTCGCCAGTCGGGCTATTCCGATGGGAATTGCTCTGCTCGCTGGATATTGCGTATACGCAGAGGATGCCAAGTGCTAAGCCTTTAAGAGCTGCAACAACTACACAGCTTTCAGTTGGAAATAAGTGTTGCTTGTTAAATGACATCGTTTTTCATTTGTACAGCAATGAGGAGCCTGCCTGTGGAAGGCCGACTCATGTGCCAGCCAGTCAGCCAGCCAGCCGGGAAACTGAGTAAAAGTAGTACAGGAAATTGAATGTTAAGACCGACACGTACAAAATAAATGCGGTATTTGGTACAAGCTCACATACTGAAGCACTGATTGTGGGTTACAGATACAGATATGGAGGTAAAACACACACACACACATGAAGATGCTGCATAAATCTATCTTTTAGATTTATGGCGCACCAGAGCAACGTTAATAGGCAAATGAGAGAGAGAATGAGAATGGCGAAATGTGTATGTGTGTGTGTTTGTGTGTGTTTTTGGGTATGTGCTTAGGCCAACGGAATGGCATAGAGAGTGGTTTACGTATGGCCAACTTGTGAAATGGTAATAAAACTTTGTATGCGCATTTATAGCTCTTTTATGCCTGTGACCAGGTCTGTCTTCGAAATGAATTATGAAATATTTTGGCAATGCTAAATGTGAAACGAGTAAGGCAACTCTCGCCGGCTGACATTAATCTTGGCCCCGTCGGTAAAAGGACATGGCCAAAGCTATCTGCACATAGATAAATAAATAGCCGCAGCACAGAAAAAGAAAACCTGTAACCAGGGCCATAAAATTGAGTTATTAAAATAAACAGCGACAGGTGTGGACTCCAGCAGAGATTGAGAGACACGGAGAGAAAGAGGGAGAGAGCGAGAGTGGGAAAGGGGAAGCAAGATTGGGCAAAGTTTAACAGCAATCAGTGCTTTTCTCTCTGGCGAATGCAGGTCAACTGCGGACAGTCTGTGTCCAACAAATATTACCAATGTTTACATACGTGGCACAAAAGCGTGCCAAGTGAACCAACAACAGCAGCAACTGGGAATCTGTTAACTGACGTGCGGGAGAGCGCGAAAATGCAACAGCCAAACAATTACAACTGCCAGCTGAGTGTTGCTCCAATTACGAGTGCGCATCAGGGAGGCTGAGGCGGCGGCACTTGGCCTGGCCCAAACCAGCCAAGCAAACAGTCAAGTCGTCTGTTTTGGCTCAGTCAGGCATCGCTCTAGCCGTCGCTTGTTAGTTGAATATTTGCTGCACAAGCGTTGAGAAAGCGCGATAACATTTTAACACACTCTCACACTACACATGGCCAGGCCAGGCCAAGCTGCCAGGCTGCTGAGTTCTCATGTGCTTCTCATGCACTAAAGGTTTTTTATCAACAACAACAAGAGCAACAAGAGCAACAACAACGACTACGAAAGTAGCAGCAGTTGCCAGCTGGCTGCCAAGAGCTCAATATGACCCTTTGCTCTGCACTATTGGGATAAGATATACGAAAATGAAATTTCAGTTCATTTTGGGAGGACCGATAAAGCCCTTAAGTGCTGTTGCTGATAGCACTCGAGGCTGTTAGTGAAAATTGGCCACTCTTAAGCCACTTCCCAGCAACTAGCTGCAAAATCAATTGGCCAGCCATATACCATATACCATATGCTATGCACCATATTGAGCTGAAGCCCTTAGCAGATCTAGTCAACCAGCGCATCCTTATGGCAGTGCATATGGGAGCATATGGGATTGACCTATTTTTAACATTTCACTGGGCCGCATTGCCAATAAATTAGCATATAAGAGCATACAGGTAAAACACAAGAAAACCAATATTCAGAATTATGTATATGGATAAAAAAAAAAAGAGGAGAACCATCATCAGTGAAAGCCCTCGAAAAGACCAGTTGAATGTCATCCTAAGAGTAGGCCACACTTTTTGTGCGCACATCCGGCAGACGGAGTGTGCTCTTCTATTATTTTTAGCTGTTGTGTAGATTGTGTAAGTTGAATTTGATCGAAATGAGGACAAAGGAGGTATTAAAGTTCATGCAGATTTTATTTGGTATATATTGTTATTTAATATTCATGATTGTCGTAAAGAATATTTAGGGCTCGTTAATGTGTTCAGCGATCCAGTTTAGGAAATATGCAACCCGAGTAAAAACAGTGGGAAAGTTTGAAAGGCAACGGCCTATTACAAACGATGTGATACCAATCACGGTGCTATCTGGGTCAGGGCCATCAGGGTTTCTTTCGGCTAATGGACCACCAGAGTCTCCTCTGCAAATCCTTTTCTCATTAGGTGCGACACATAGCCAATGTGAATAAAACTTTATATTAGAAGGGATCATACTCTTGCATTCCTCATTTGATAATGTTTTCACATTCGTATACTGTAAATGCTCAGTTCTTACGAAACCTGAAATTATTGAAATGTTAGAAAATTATTTATTGTTGATTTGAATACACACCTTTAACTCTGCCCCAACCGGAGACAATAGCATTTTCGTCTACATGAAGACTATTGGGTTCTGGTAATTTAGCTGGTTGAATATACTGGTTAAACTCCAGATCATTTGGCATTTTAATTAAAGCAATATCGTTGGCGACATTGATAGGATTATACTCTTCATGAATCACATAACTGCCAGCTTCCACGATCACAATTTGTTGTCCAGTTTCTGTGCTATTACTTTTATCCACGGCTCCAAAGTAAATTCTTAACCTTCCGCTTCATTCGAATTGGAGAGAAATATAAAGTGTTATAAAGATTAATTCATATACTTAATTAGCATTTACCTTGTTCTTTTATTATCAAAACAGTGAGCTGCTGTAAGAATGGTCCTTTTACCGATTATAGTTCCACCGCAGTTCGGTCTCCATTGTTTATTTATTTCAACATCATAAAAGACTTGATAAGGAAATTGTTTGGGCTTTGCATTTTCACCATTGATAATGCGTTCCACTTGGCTGGGCTTAGATTCCACATTACAGAGACAGAAAAGCACCGCCATAAGGAACAACTGCCATCTATGATGAAGATTTTCCATGTTGAAATGTAAAAGTTTTACTAAGAAGGTTACGAAGTCGTGGAACTTAAATAGCAAAAATTCTTGACAGGTGCAATACGTCATGATAAGACCTCTGACAAGCAATTATTGATTTATCTGTAATAATAAATAATAACTCTGCAACAATGTTGTAAATAAAAAAAAACAAATCATTATCATTAAAGACAACATTTTTAAAAATTGTATATTTTTTAATTTGTTCCCTGCATTGTTTGCGATAAATTTTAAGTAACACTAAGGAAATTTTATATATTTATATTTTTTATATTCATACATTGTTTAAAAGAAATCTGAAGGGCTCACTACAAAAGATCTACTAAGGGATGGCCGACTAGGAAATCCACTGAAGACGTACCAAATGTACTCAGAACTTAAATCAGTAAATATTTGGCCTTAACGTATAAATTCAGTGACTAGAGGTAGAGATTAGGGCTTAGTCACAGTGATGTCGATGGTCTAGTGGGTAGTATCTGTAAGGGCGGCGTGGGATGGTGTTGTAAATTTAGTTTGTAATGATTTAAGGGTATATAAAAGAAGGAAAGCCGATAATTGGCTCGAGCACACAACTTGCTCCAATATCCAAAAAGTAAATACAAACCAAATTTTATAAAAAGCACATAGAACTAGATTCTATCTCAGAGATGAAAGGGATATAGTTTGATAGTGCTATTCGCTGTTCTTTCTGTTGCTTTATTATATTTATCATTGTCTTTAAAGCTGATGATCAGAGAGAGAGAGAGAGAGAGAGAGAGAGAGAGAGAGAGAGAGAGAGAGAGAGAGGGAGAGAGAGAGAGAGAGAGATATGGAGAGAGGGTTTGAGTGAGAGAAAGAGAGATAACGGTTTGATAACGGGAGAGAAAGTTTGTTCCCAAGCTATTCAGTTTTTGTTTTTATCCCATGTAAGTTAACGAACAACCAGTCAATAATGCAACCCATGCCAAGAGATGCGAATCAAGCATACATATTCAAATTTTTAAGCAACTTTACTTTTATTTCGTATATATTATCATACAAAATTCATGATATTTGTATATATTTTTTACGACTCGTTGATGTGTTGAGCGATCCAGTTTAGGAAATATGCAACCCGAGTGAAAACAGCCGGGAACTTTGAATCGCAACGGCCAAATCCAAACGATACGATACCAATCACAGTGCCAGAGCCATCAGGGTTTCTTTCCGCTAATGGACCACCAGAGTCTCCACTGCATGTCGTTGTCTCACCAGGCGCAATACAAAGCCAATGTGAATAAAACTTCTTTTCTCTTAATAAAGACTGGCATTCCTCATTCGATAATGTTATCACATTCGTATATTGCAAATGCTCAGTTCTTACGAAACCTGAAATTATTGAAATTTTAGAAAATTATTTATTGTTGATTTTAATACACACCTTTAACTCTGCCCCAACCGGAGACAATAGCATTTTTGTCTACATGAAGACTATTGGGTTTTGGCAATTCAGCTGGTTGAATATACTGGTTGAACTCCAGATCAGTTGGTAGTTTAATTAAAGCAATATCGTTGCTCTTTTTGTTGATATCCCAGTCTTCATGAATCACGTAGCTTCCAGCTTCCACGATCACAATTTGTTGTCCAGTTTCTGTGCTATTACTTTTATCCACGGCTCCAAGGTAAATTTTTATTCGTTGTCTTTTTTAGCATTACACAAAAATGTAAAGTGTTAGAAAAGTCGATTCTTTAACTTAATCAGCATTTACCTACATTTCGCCAGACCTCCCATCCAAGCAATGAGCTGCTGTCAGAATCGTCTTTTTACCGATTATAGTTCCACCACACGTCTGTTTCCATTGTTTTGTTACTTCAATATCATAAAAAACTTGATAAGGAAATTGTTTGGGTTTTGCATTTTCACCATTGATAATGCGCTCCACTTGGCTGGGCTTAGATTCCACATTACACAGGCAGAAAAGCACCGCCACAAGGAGCAACTGCCATCTATGATGAAGACTTTCCATGGTGAAATCTAAAAGTTTTACTGAGAATGCTTCGAAATCGTGGAACTTAAATAGCAAAATTTTTTGGCAGGTGCAATACGTCATGATAAGAGGGACGACAGGCAACTTATGAGTTATTTGCAGTAAAAATTAATAGTACCTTTGCAACAATTTTAATAGAGCATGAGTGTTACATAGTGTTATATATATAGTGTTATAT